GTTTTAATCAGATTTTATTTGATGGAATAGTAGAAATTAAATTAAAATAAATAAATAATAAGAAATAAATGAATGAGTAAATAAATAAATACATTATAAGTATTTATGAATTAAAAAAAAAATTATACGCGAGAATCGAACCCGAGAACTCAAGCTTACGAATCAGACTCGTTACCACTCTGCCACAGGACGCTCGAATAGAAATACGTATAATTTATATATAAAGTGCTAACAAAACTTTAAGTTCGATTTTCTCGATTATATTTGAGTATTGCACTTTAGTATTTTACAGGTAGTACACTCACATCGTGTACTACCTCTACACCAAAGATCATCAAAATCCGTTACCCCAAAGCCGTAGGCTCTCCTTGTTAGTTAAAATTGCTCCCTGCGAGTGGCTCATGGATGGAATCAGAGACGATCTTGGTAGGTGTGCAGTGTATGCATGCATGCCAAATCCCGAGGGTGCCAATACCGGTTAATGTCAAATGTCTCTCAAATGTCAAAAAGTATATCTCAAAGGACGTGACAGGATTGTTGTAAATTTTAAACGTTTCTTACCATAGCTGTAAAAATCTAAATATGTTAAACTTAATACAGTAGAGCGTCGATTATCCAAAAGTCAATTATCTGAAATGTCAATTATCCGAAAGAATTCCAGTCGGCAAATTTAAATTTTCGCCAGTGCTGTGGCGCTGCAATCTTTGGCAATGTCTTGGGCTACTCAAATATTTTACATTTTTGATACTAAATTAACTTCTGAAGTATAATTTTTTATTGTTTTTATATTTTTCAATATATTTATTTTGTTTGTACAAAATAAAAAAATAATTTTTAACGATACAATAGTCTTCGTTAGGCTTAACATCGACGAAAATTCAACGCAAAGCGACATGCAACGAAGAAAAATTTCAAAATGGGATAGGTTAATATATTTTTTTTGTTATAGGTTAATATATTTTTATTGGTTATCCAAAATATTGATTTTCCAAACAACCCCAGTCCCCAATTGATTCGGATAATCGACGCTCTACTGTAGTAATTTGTTTTCTAACTAATTCGTTTTAGGACCAGGTGTTGTCCACGGAAATTTCCAAAATTTAAAACTTTTCGGTCACTCTCGTTGAACTGGAAAAATTTCTGTCTTTATTACATCTAATATACAGTATTTCGAAGAAACCAGTCCCCACTTTACTTGGCTATAGATTGGTTCGGTTAAGCTTTTGTTTAAGTAATATTCCGGCTCTTTCATCAGGGTTTTGTTTATGTCCCCAATTCCCTAATCTCTTAATTATTTAACTACTTAAGTAGGAATAAGTTGAAACCAGTTACTTTTTACTTGAATATTTGTAGTCTTCGGAAAAAAGTGGAAAGACAAATTTTTATGACAACGGATACATAAATCGTAAATTTATGGAATATAAATTCTAGAGCTTTTTCTGTACCCGGTGCATCTCTCTCATTCATTAAATTTAGTTGTAAATGATGCTACCAAAGTAACAGTTAATTTTTTAACATTGTACAAGAATTGTACATGTTTTTTTCTACATCCCCTTATAGATGGGACATATGAAATCATAATATCACTGGTTTAACATTGAAATCCATAAGTAATATAAGATGGGAGAGCAGAATAAAAATATCAAATATTTTAATGGATATTTTTTAACTCCTGTCAACTATACAGAACTATCATAAAAACATACCAGTAAATTCTTATTGGTTGGGTTAAGTTATAAATCTACTTATGATTCACATAATCGGGCAAGGGCGGCCAAATATCTAGCAGACAGGCACTAACAGCCCAGAAGCAGTCCTGGATAGAATCATTGGAAGCATTATATGTATGTAGCTTCCACCAGCTAAATCGCGTGAGGTTGGTGCTCTGTAAAGCACATGCGCGAATGTGTATAATCTGGCTGCTTGAAAGTTGACTCAGTTTCGACAATACAGTGCTTCCAATCTGCCACTGATATTCAAATACATAATAGCAATCTTATCGTTTTTTTCACATATCACATCGTTTTTGCCATCATTGGAAGTGGTGGAAGCCACTTCCAATGATGGCATGCTACTGGAGTATATAAATATTTACACACACATACGGTGTATATCATGCAACTATGACCAAATTTTAAATTCCTTACCAGAATTACCAATTGTATTTATTCATTACTTAAGATTGTAATGATTAAAAAAACTTAAATTATGTAAAATTAAAATGAGATCATTGTGAAGAGATACTTCATGCAAAATATGAAATCATCAAAAGATATAGTTAATAATTCTAGATATAATATTTCATACTAACTTAATTATATACCTTAATATTTGCACAATGTGCTTTTCCATCTTGTGACTGATACATTAACTTCATGCCACGCAATGCGTCCATAGCTTTAACAAATCCCATATATTCATTAAATTGAACATAAGCTTCAAACGTAAGATCCTGTGAAAATGAAAACGTTTGTATAACTCCAACAGTTTTATTCATGTCTTTATAATACGGATCTAGCATCGGAATATCTGTATGTCTAATTTCTCCAAAAACACTAAAAACTTTCTTCAAGATATGCTCATTTGGTTTATTGTTGTCCTGCTTTTTATCAGAAAACCATTTCGAAGGCAATCCACTAAAAAATATAGTGTCCGGTCGTTCCCCGGGCTTCATTTCATTCATATTCTTGGCATCGCGAAAGTAAGAATCCCAGTCATGTCTAGTCGGAAAAGCAATTTTGGCTTCAGCTGCTCTGATTTTTAGAACATCTGAAAACCCGCTAAGCTTCATTGTGTTTCCATCCAGTCTAGAAATTACTGTTTTCAGTACACTCTTATTCTCTAATTCTCCTTCAAATCGAATAAATTCTAAACTAGTTTTTGTAACTTTAAGAACAATAAACTCTTCTGGTTTTATCATCTTTTTCACTTTTTCCATCACTTCCCAGTTGGATATACTTTTTCCAGGTGTTTTAAGAGCTGGTAATTGAACACAGATATTCAGTTTAGCAATTGGCTTCAGATATAATCCGTATTGTGTGCACAACTCCACAGCTTCGCTTGTATCTTTACAAGGTTGAATAAGTGACATTTTCAACCTTACCAATTCGTCTTGATAATCTTGATGTATTTTATTCTGCTTTTATTAAAAATAAATAATAATCATCTATTATCACAGAAATAATGACTAATCTTCATATCCATAATACTATTTAAATAGTAAATATATCACGTAAAAGTAATTAAAAGAAAAAAAAAACTATACTTGAACAAAAAATATATTTTCAGTCGCCATATTGTAAACTAGAATATTTCCTTCAACTGACAGTAGAGGCGCTTTTTGTTTACAGAACAATGTGTTCAAGATTGCCTAATCATTGCATTTATTCAAATTGAGTGGCGGTTTAAATTGTGTCGTAAATAAAATGAAATTTTATTTTAAGTAAATTTAGATGAAAATAAAAATTTGGAAATTTTTATTGCTGAAAAATAAAATAATGTTTAAGTGCATACTGTATATAAGTGTAGGTACTGTACAATACATATTTCTGTTAATTTCTGTATATATTGATATTTTTTAAACCTTTTCTGTTTTACAGGCATTAAGACGGCCTTTTTATAAAAATTCTTTCCGTCCTGTGGTCACTAAGACGGTCTCTATTTGCAAGACCATTATGGATTCGGCCAGGCCCACAATTGGGCGACCGGTCGGATATGAGGGATGTGGTCCGTCCTTCATATCCGACGACAAATCCGGACGGACCACCCCCAGAAAAATTCTTGGGGATTATTCGACCCGTCCGGATTCGATCCCGGGTCCACCAGAGTGGTAGGCTGCCACCTTGCCGTTCGGCTTCTGGTCATCCGCCGCAATTGGTCAAAACTCGTCACGACCATAGATTAAAAAGCACTTGAATTGCCAATTCCATGAAAGTCACGTGATTTTGGTGCATACAACGCTCACGATATCAGATATTAGAGCGGTCATACACATTATCAGATATGCATTCGATCACGTAAAAGTAACAACTTTGTCATGTGATCGAAATTATACATGACACAGTTATGTGGTTTACTTTTTTGAATTCGAACTTCGTGGTTGTCATATTCTTAATCTGTGATTCGTAATATATATTATTTATATGAATATTTTTTTGTATTATATATATATTTTGCCTATGTTTAGATTTGTATAAAACTATGTAATATACCGGTATATTTTTATTATCTTAAGCTAATTGTTATTTATTTCTGTTTTTTAAAAATATTAATCGAAAACTTATCAACATTTACTTATAAATACTATAGCTTAATTTGGTTATGATACTATTTTATTTGAATATTTTCAAGTTATAACATAACTTGAGGAACGATGTAGTGAAAAAAATGTGTACATTTCACAATAAAGAATTATTTATTCTCATACAGTAAATGTTTGTGTTATCTATGAAATCCATGTTTAATTAAACGTATTGGATTGGAAATTCGATGTGACGCTTACACAAAATAAATTACTGTACAGTATTCCAGTCTATGACATCACTTCTACTTGCAACTAGAAAGGCCTAGGCCCGGTCGAAACATCGGTAAATCATATAACCAACTTAGTTCTACTTGTCTATCTATCTATCTAGCAGTATAATGCGGTGTTACAGTAAATATAGAAAAATTACTTATACAAGAATATCTCATATTTATATTAAGACCATATTTTGCGTTTCGCTTAAACTTCACACATTAACATTAACAGTAAAATTTTAATTGTTTTTGAGGTTAAATAATAATACAAGCAAGGTTAAGTATTTATATTTCTTTAATATACTGTAGTTTAAAAAAGGCAAAATAAAATATAAAACTCCACATTTGAAATAAACACTTTTATTAATATTAAAAATTACAATTTATTCGAAAAGCAATTAACTAATATGACAGTATTTACAATGAGTTATTACTATTACAAGACTACTACAAGATGATAGCCTATATACAGAGTGTCTCAGTTAAGAAATAATTGTTGAGCCAAGAATGTATATATTTAAATATTGATTAATGCAATATTAAAAAAAGCCATGTTTATTTTCATATTGAGTTCTAAATTTTCTTGATTTTGAAATGATATGCGTCATTATATATGCAGGGTGTCTTAGTTAAACGTTTCAGAACTTCTAAGACGAGTAGGATGCATCTCCTAGCGTCGCCCACAGTGGAAACCAGATACAGTATATTTTATTAAAAAATAATTAAAATTAAACCTAATAATAATAATAATTCTTATTATTAAACTAAACGTTTAATAGTTAACTATGCTATAATTTTTATTATTTAAAAAAAACAAATTTATTTAATTTAAACAAACATTCACTTTAGCAGACGTAAATTAAATTATTACACCGTTTTCATTTTCGCAATGGATAAACGCAAAATAACGAGATAAAATAATTATTTTTATTTCTTGATAAATTATTTTTTTCTACATAAATTCTTATTTAATGACGTAATAATTTAACAATTAATAAAATATCGTTCTAAACACCTCGAAAGTAAACAAAAATATCCGTCTACACGTTAAACAACAATATTAAATTAATAATAAAATTTATTTTATATATTATTCTTATAATAATGAATATAACAGGGCGTAACAGGGTGTTTATAATATGTAATATAATACCGCGTGCATGGAATGAACTAAATACGTAATGTAGAGGGAACTATAAACAAGATAAAATGTATTCGGCATCGTATCAATACACTGTCGCAGGTATGAGAATTGTGCATGGGCGAAACTGCTGGGATACAATCTTCGATTATGCGACTTAATATTATCAGCACTCTTAACATAAATTATGTGATTTTTATGAGTTAGACATCGATCCATTGTTAGCTAAGGAATATTACTATGTACGGATATTCAAAAGGTGATGATAATATCATTATTAATTAATACTCATTTACACGTGTGTATTATATATTTTTAAGGATTTATTTTAGTGTGTTATACGTTCTCTTATTTCATTCTGTGTTTAACTAAATATACGTATTCATCCCTCTTTGCTTACGTGGATTAAAGATTTTCGGAAAAATAAATTTTTCCGAATTCCAGTATGATACATTGAGTGTTTACTTAAAGGGAGTTTACCAGTTTACTCGGTTATTTGGTTACAATTGTTCATATTCAATGCCTATTTTTATTTATTTTGGTTGAAAAAATAATGCAAATGTATTATAATAATATGGTAATTAATACTTTGTTCATACACGTACATTTATTACAAACAGTACGAATAATAGTAGAAGTAATAGTTTGTACATTAATAATAATTTTCTTATATTTCATTAATTTTTTTCATCCACAATTCATATATATAGGATGGACATTTACCAATATTTTAAAATATATTCACACAGTTATGAGTTTCATAATTTTAAGTAAAAAATATATAATAATTACAAAGTGAACTTCTACAATCAATCATTTATCAGAACTATATAGAATTATAGTGATAGATTGGTAGTCTAATATAACCTTTTATATTATTTAGAGATTTAAGTGAAATAACATGATTTGATGAAATGTTTATAGTATAAAAACACTTTTCCATTCTATTAATGAGAAATGAGCATTTTACTTAATTATTATTTTATATTTATTAATTTAAATATTCATCTACCTGATTTTTCTATATTTTAAGTGCATTACATAGAAAAAACAAGCATCTGCTACAATCCAAAATATTTAGTCTTGTCCCGTAGAATACATTCTATGGGACAAGACATTCTATATAATGCACTTAAAATATAGACATCTTGGAAAAAGAATTAGAAGGGCTGTCTGCATTATGCAGCGGACTCAGGCCCTTGTAGAAGTAGGAAAGAAGAAGGTAGGAAAGTATGGAGAAGGAGCAGGAAGAAGAAACTAGTGTGATAGGAAAGTGGGAAGGAGAGTGCAATCAGGGGGCCCCCATGGGACCCCACGAGCGTCAGCATCGGGTCCAATTTATTAAACAGAAAACAGTTACATATAAACAACAATACAAGATTCAAAAACAGTACAAAAGCACCTCACTTGGGTGCAAAGACCGACAATATTACAACGGTGGCGCGATGAGAAGCAAAACTAACCCATAACTCACTGGGTTAACACCGAATCCTGAAGGCTGATGATGCACTTAAAATATAGAAAAATTAGGTAGATGTAAACTGTAAATAAAAAAATATTCAACTACTCGTTAGCTATTAATATAAATGTTAAACAAATAAGTTTGCAGAATGATTTAGGAATTCAGTTTCTGAGGGATCTCTAAATGGCTATTTAATCTGCTTACTAGTAAAGAAATATAAGAAAATTATTATTAATGTACAAACTATTACTTCTACTATTGTTCCTACTGTTTGTAATAAATGTATGTGTATGAACAAAGTATTAATTATGCATGATTAATTGAAATTCTTAAGAAAAGTAAAGCAAATATAAAACTTTTGTTGCAAAAATTGATTAAAGCTTGAACTTTTTAATATATATAATTCAGTAATTGTAATAGTAAATGTTATATAAAATGTGAGATGTGATAGTATACCATGCAAGAAACTTTGAATTAATTACAAGCAAAAGAAATATGTATTATATAATTATTGTAAATTACAAATGCATTCCAATAAAATTTTGTATTAGAATTATATTCATAGATGAAAGTGAATGTGGATGTTATGCCTAATTCTTGATTTGCATGGTAAATTTATTCTGTAGAAGTTTTGTGTAAATTGAAATTGTATAAAGTGAAACTAAGATTTACAAGGTTATATCAAAAAGATACCAGATTTGGTCTATAAAAATATTAATACTTAAGTAATTTAAATTTAAACACCATTCCCGTCAAAGTAGTCTTCTCCTGCATTAATATAGTAATCCCAATGCTTCTGCCACATCTCAAAAAATATTCCTTGAAAGTCATTATTTTGAAAATTTTGAAGTACCTGTTGCAATTCACATTTGATCTCCTCATCCATATTGAAATGATGTCTTGAGCTTCAGTTTTATTTTAGAGAACAAAGAAATCACAAGGAGCTAAATCTGACTAATAAGGAGGGTGAAAGTAGACTAATGTTGATTTTTGCCAAAAATGCTTAAATTTTAAAGGTTGTCTATATCACAATGGAACTACATTTGGTTGCACTACAGTTCTATAAAAATCTGAATTCACTATCTGACCAGAAGAAACAAATTTCTGGTATACAATCATTTTGTTCTTTATTACTTTCCTGATTAGTCTTGTTGTCTTGGGTCTTGGAAATCATGGTATTGCCCAAGACTTAGTTACCCTAAACTTTCCAAAGCATTTCTAGGATCCTTGTAGCAGATTTTCAAAGTTTAATGCAAAATTTAATATTTGCTAAATTTTCAAGTTCATTCTCAGCAACACAACACTAATGCAATGATATAAAATCATATGTAGCAAGTGTTTTGGTTTGAAAAACTCTATCCCCATGGCAGACAGATGCTCAAATGTCTAATGCATTGATTTTTGGTTGCAAAAAGACTTACATTCTATTATCACCGAATAGTGGAAACAGTCTAGTTTCTTTTTAACTACACAACATATATGATAAATGTGGAATTTTAGAACCTATTCTTCTATTTTCCACGTAAATGTTAGTCTTGATATACATGAAATTTAACCAGTCTAACACATGAATTGAGGGTTAGATATAATTCTGACAAGTCTACAGGAGCAGAAAATGTCATATACAAGGTAGAAAATACTGGTAATTAATGACAACAATGGAGGTGGATCCATTCTGGTTTGGGTTTTATAAGCAAATTATAAACCCATAAAATATTGGTTAAATAATAATCATTTATCAGATAATATATATATATATATATATATATATATTATTTTATAGAATATTTTTTCCATTATTCTTAAAATGGAAATTCATACTTTTAGAGAATACAGTACTAATCTTTCATTATCATAACTGTAGTATCAATCAATGCTCAACAAGTTTGAAATTATTATTAAAGCTAACCATTATTCTAAAACATAAAAAATGCTTCTTAACAAATTTGAATGTATAATTAAAAATATAATGTGTAGCTTTTTATATAGCTTTATAAGGTTATTTTAGTACAGTGATTCCCAAATTTTTTGAGCTACTGCCCCCTTGATTCCATAAACCAACCAATACAAAAGTAAAATTTATTTACAAACAACAGGCTTCCTAATGGGTTCTCTGTTATCATTAGTACTTGCTAAGATAATTATGTGATACATCAAATACAGCTGTCCCTTGATAATCCGACAGGTATGGGACAAAGGGGTGTCGGATTACCAAAAGTGTCCAGATTACCAAAAGTGATTACATATTTGGCATTGTTTTGCTAGCAGTAGCCTACAATATTCCCTACTCCAACTGTTCAAACAGAACTGCTCATGGAAACACACAAAATGTGTGTCATCGTGTAAGAATTGGGTGGGGAGTGTGTGCAAGCAGACACGTAATGGGGATGGATACCTTGACAGAAGGTGTGTCGGACTACAGAGCATGTCTGATTACAAAATGTCGGACTATCAAGGGGCAGCTGTATTCTTGTCCTAACCCATTTTCCCTTGTTTGAGAAAGGCTTGGAAATATTCTTACAAAAACTTTTCTATGACCCTCACAATAATGACTACATTATTGTATATTGTTCTCCACATCTGGAAACCATTAAATGCAATGTTTCTTCTTATCCATTTTAACGGAGAAAAGGGAAATGTTGTCAGTGACCCCTCAACCCTTGCCTATGGTTACCATTCAGTACCTTGCCTCCAGTATCCACCCTGCTGCCCACTCGCTTCTTTTTGTCCCCTATATTTACTTACCACCCACGGGTGGTAGTGCCCACTTTGGGAACCACTGGTTTAGTACTTGTTTTGGGAGTGCTGTTTGTACCTCAATGTACTGGCTATACATATCATCTCTCTTGTGGGTGTTAGGACATGAGTATATTGCAGGCAATGTAAGTGCTAATTCCCTGACCAAACAGGGTGCTTCATATCCCTTTGTAGAACCTGAACCAGCTCTTGGTATTTCTTATAATACTTTCTTTAAAGATGTTAGATATTGGAATACCTTCCATTCTATCATTCTTAGCAGTGGAGGTTAACTCCTAGTTTAAAGCCGATCAAGACTTTTTTGCCTAGCCTGCTCTCTGGGTGAACTGATGACTTTCTGTCTTTCAACAAGAATTATGTTTGCTGTTTGGTCAGTATTGTGACTGATTTTGGACACTTTCATGAACATCTGTGCCAGCTAAAACATTTCTCCTCTGCATCTTGCTGCTTTTGCAAGTGCCTCTGCATCTCATTTGTGAGTGTACAGATCTCTGTTCAAATAGACTTGTTTATCTGAACTCTACTTGTTGAGTCCTGGTGAAGTCCTTCAGCTTTCTTTCAGAAATCTGCTGTCTACTTCAGAAGTCCATCTCTAAAAAAAATCTGTTGTAGGATGCACAATGGACCTTCTAGGTTGAGATGTTTGGTCTACTAACCTTGCACAATAATACAATGTAATAATAGCTTTATAAATATAATGAAGCTTTTTTTGTTTTGAAAAAAAATTTGTTTGAAAATTTTACAAAATTAATTAAAGTTATTATTATTATTATTATGTTGGGTTTAGTGGGTTATACTCGGTTCACACCGGTGGCTGTGTACTATGCCGGACCAGAGTCAAGGCATAGCAACCAAAACAAAACTAAAATTAAATAAGTGTGTCAGTGTCTGTATTCAGGAATTTCCTAACAATGTGGCATGTATTCAATATAGTGGCCTTCTGTAGTGTTATGTATGTATTTCTACTCAATTCTAATGTTCCCAGGCTTTTGTGTAGTGTGTGTGGTATCACACCTGTACAGGAAAGAACAACAGGTACA